TACCTGTAGAGCAGAGCAGGAGAGGGTTAGGCGGGCGGTTTGGGGGAGGCTTACCTGAGATGGGTGGTTGGCTGGTTGTTGGAGTTTGGAACCCTTGACATGCCCTTGGTGGCTTGAACTATTTATTTATTACCATGCTAAATGATGCCACATTTGGTGGGGAGAATTTGGTGCTCTGAACCCCCCTCTTCCCTCCCCAAACAGGTTTTTTTTACCCCTGCCCGAGTTGTTTTTATACCTGCCCGCCAGAGCGTATTTCCTAGCGTATCCAATCCCATAATGAAGCGTACAGCGTATATACGCTAGCGTATAATACGCTTGCGTATATACGCTAGCGTATAATACGCTTGCGTATAATACGCTGGACGCGTATTTCTCCACTTAGCGTGGGACCAAGCTCTTGTAGGTTATCACCGGTGCCGTGGGACCAAGCTCTTGTAGGTTATCACCGGTGCCGTGGGACCAAGCTCTTGTAGGTTATCACCGGTGCCGTGGGACCAAGCTCTTGTAGGTTATCACCGGTATCTGCGTGCATCTCTCAGCTGCGCTGTATGCAGATTCTCTAGCGCTGCCGACATCAACTTTTTTTTAAAGTACTCCCCTCTTCGCACAGCCGCCGCCGCCCATGCCTCCGCCGACTCTTCCTTCATTGACTCAGTGAGGAGCGTGGGCACATCCACGGGCAGCACTGGCTCTCTTCCGTACAGCAAGTGGTACAGGGACATGTCCGTCAGAGCTGATTGCTTTGCGAACCGATAGCCCGCCAGCACCCATGGCAGCTCAGCATCCCACTCTCTCTTCTTCTGCTCTCCATACACCCGCAATCCTCTTTAGATCGTCTGTATCATCCGCTCTGTCAACCCGTCGGACTGAGGATGGTACCGCGATGTCACTCTTTGAGTGATACCTACTTCTTTTAAGAGCTCTGCAAAGCTGCCTTGTAACTCCGTGACTTGATCTGTCAGCAACTCCCCGCATGCCCCAAATCTGGTGAGTACTTGGTCCAGAAATGCCTCTCGGATCAGCCCACTGTTCTTGCTGGCTATGGCCCTTGCCTCCACCCACTTTGTCGTATGCTCTATCATCGCGACAATGTACATCTTCCCTTGCCTGGACAACGGTAATTCCCCGGCCAGATCCAAGGACCACCTGAATCCTAAGCCGCGTATGTGCAGTGATTGCAGTCTTCCCTGCCCTTCTCCAGCACTGCCTTGTTTCGCTGGCATACCTCACACACCTGCACCCACTGCGCCACGTCTCTTCTCATTCCTGCCCACCAGTAGGTAGTGCATAGTAGCTGCCTTGTCCTGGCTCCCCCCTAATGCCCCAGCTTTTCGTGCACTTGCTGCACGATATTCTCTCTCACTTCTGGCTTAGGCACCACTTTCCATCCCTCCGTCGTGCGCAGCTGCATCTGACTCTGAAACCATCGATAGTGCCCTCCTCTACTCCTCGCCCTTGCAGTCACTGCTGCCGCATCCTCTGTCATTGCTGCTCCAATCCGTGTGGGGCGTCTTTCTTTGGCAGCTGCAGTACCGTTCCTGCTTTGATGGCCTCCAGCAAATCCCTTCTCGCCTGCTCCTCTTCCGGTTCCCACTTCTTGCCCCTCAGCAGCTGATTCAGCCTGTATGCTCTCTTGCTGAAGTTGGGGATGAAGCGCCTGTAATAGTTCAGGAACCCCAGGAGTGCTCTCAGTGCTCCCTTGTCTTTTGGTGCCCCGAGCTTAACTAGCACTGCCACCTTGGCCTCTTGAATCCCCATCCCGCATTGCACTTCAAATCCCAGGTAGGCGACTGTTCTTCTGGCTATCTTGCATTTTTCCAGGTGACAAGTAAGCCCTGCGTCTGCTATAGCGTCCAATGTCGCTTCCAGGTGCTCGGCATGTTCCTCTTCACTCTTGCTGAAGATCACCACGTCGTCAATGTAGCACGCTGCTGCTTGCACTGCCTTCAACGCTTGATCCATGACTCTTTGGAACACACGTTCCAACGTTCCTTAGCCCGAACGGCATCACGTTCCATTCGTACAGGCCGTCCACTCCATGAAAGGTGGTCTTGCCTTTATCTTCTATTGCCTCTCCTTGCTTTTCTTCTTGCGTCAGGTATGCTCGGCTTGCTTTGATAGGCCTACTGCTCTCTCCTGCTTGCTGCTGGCTCGACTCCCTTTTGTGCCGCTGCTGCATTATCTCGTTCAACAGCCACTGTGGTGCATGCTGATCCATTGCCCGCCCCAGGGTGGCCCTGCGCTCTTGCTCCTGTATCCCTCGTGCTGCTGTTCCCCCGGTATGTAGCCCATTGCCAACTCCCGCTCGACCGACGTTGGTTCCTCCCGCTGCCTTCTCTCTCTGTCATAAACCATGCCTGGCCCTGGCTTGCCATCTTCCAGCACAAACCCACGTGCTCCCTCCTAGGCCACCAAGGTAGGCCAAGCCCTTCTCGGCTCGCCTAGCTTGTTGCATTGCAGCTGCTTTGGGTGGTCTCTCTTCTCTACAGGAGCCGACGTTCTTCCTGGCTCCAGTATGTCATCCACTAGGAGTTTTGGATCTCTCCTCAGGGTCGGCTAGTCCTAGTCTCAGCTTCTCTGGCACTACTCCGTTTTGCCAATACCTTCTCACCTGATGTGCCCTTGCACCATTCAGTGCAGCATCCCAACTTATGCCTGCCCCTAGCTCCGCCACTACCTTCTCTTGCGTTGCTCTCACTGGTTCTCGCGGGTCCCATTCCATGTCTACATGCTCCACCACATAACAGCACCTTTTGATCCCCCTTCCTTGATCCACTTCAGCATTTGTAGAAGCTTGTCCAATAACGCTGTGCGCGCATCTCCCATTCTCCGCCCTTTTCCGGCTCTTGAGGTGCCTTGGCACTCCCAGCCCACCACCACCAGATCTATTGAACCCATCCCCATACAGTTGCCTCGTTCAGCTGACGTTAGACATGGGCAGCATGCCGAGCCTGGCTCGACTCGAACTCGAGCCAGGCAAAAGTCGAGCCGAGCCGACTCGGCTCGACCCAAGCCGGCAGCCCCAAAATGGTTGGCTCGACTCGAGGGTTCAGGGTCGAGCGCAGGGTCGGCTCGGCTCGTCGGGATTTTTTGGGCAAGCCGAAGTCGAGCCGGCTCGTTTTCGGCTCGACTGTCGAGTTGCGCAGCTAGGCCCCGGCTAGAAATCGAAAACCCATTTCTGGTTTTCGATTTCCAGTTACTCTAAGCGCTGCCTACGCCCACCACGCCAGCCGAGCATGCCTAAGCCCCATTAATCTCACTCCGTAAGTTCACTCAGACATTAACTAGAGTGTTTTAGGTTATCAGGGAAATTACGTTTTAAGGGTACACTAGCGATGGCGATTTCTGTTTAGGACCTAGATTTTCTAGGTCCGCCAAACACCTACTTTCTACTCTAGTCAAGAACGCTAACCATCACTACTCTGTCGAGTCGAGCCGAGCCGAGCCAAAGTCGAGCCGGTCCTTGGCTCGACCCTCGAACCCCGAGTCGAGCCAGCCATTTTCGGGCAGCCGGCTCGGGTCGAGCCGAGCCGGCTCGGCTCGACTTTTACTTGGCTCGTGTCGAGTCGAGCCGAGTCGAGCCAGGCTCGGCATGCTGCCCATGTCTAATGCCAGGCCATGCGCCTGGCCTTCGGATCTATCTCCACCAACGACCAATCGTGCTTCCAGCGCTGCTGCTAATCCCGCTCCTATTCCTCCAAAGAGTTCCACTATCGTAATTGGCCGTTCGCCCAGCGTTGCTCCTGCTTGCTGTCTCCGTGTTTCCATACTTCCCTTTTCGGCTGCTCTCGTGCCCTTCGCCATTCTCTCCTCCTTTGTTGCTTGCTGTAGCTCTGTGGCTTGCAGGGCCTTTCTTGGATCCATCTTCACAAATCGCACTGGCAGCTCTCCCTGCGCCCCGCCCTCCTTCCAATATTCGGTTCTAAAGATCAGCTTCTCTCCCCATGCATCGATTTGTGCTCCGACCTTGTAGACCAACTCCACAGGTCGTAATCCTCCGACTCGGAGAACCCGCACTGCACTCGAATCTGGGTTTCCTCCTTCTGTCACGGCAGCAGCGCGACCTCAACCGGCTGCACTCGAATCTGGATTTCCAGCGAGTTATGGCGAACACTTTTTCGATCCACGAACCGAGCTGACTTTTTCGCTGCTTGTGCTCTCTTCTTTGCCCGTCTTCGCACCTGGGGTTACCCGGAACGATTCCTTCTACAGATCTTCAAACGAGTCAGTTTTTCTGACCGAACCTTCTCCGATGTGCCGCTGAACTACGGACCAAATCCGACCGTGTCCCCTTGGTCTTGAAGTGCCTCCTCAATCCTCTTGTGGAGCGCTCGGACCTCGGGCCAATTTTGAGTCGACTCAAAATACACCTGGACAAGCTGACACAGGGTTTATTCTCCAGCCAACATGCTTTAATCGCATGGAAGCTGCCAAAGAAGATCAAGGATTTTATAGTCGCCGCAAGAAAATGCTAGTTTAGTGTTTCGATTTTGTTACGCTTATCTAGTTTATTGCTAGGCTACAGTGGCCCCTCCTCGGGGATGGTGTGGACCCTCGAGATTTTCTCGGGTCGCACTTCCACTATTTAACAGCTCAAGGCTCTGATGTTCAGCAGATGCTGATGAAGGCTTGTATAAGCCGAAACTAGTTCATCACAGGTTTTCCATCGAAAACTTTCTGAGCATCCCTACAGCTCGAGCTTTTTTCAGAACCGTTGCCTCGCAAGGCTACTACCACCACGGTTAACCCAGAGAAATGTGGGTCCGTTGGTCTCACTAGTGAGATTTCATAGCAACGTGCTTCTGTTCATGTACAGCATTGTCGTCACACACCATTTGGGTATCACCAGGCGGGCACGTACAACAATGGCATCGCAGCTGCTGGTAACAAGCTCCCTTCAATTCCTAGCCTAGTCGAAGCCGTTGGTCAACAATGTTTCAGAGCCGTGATTTGCAGTGTGAGTTGCAGGTGGGAGCGGTGGGGTGCACTTGACTCACAGTTCCGAGAGGGACCTCAGCCGTGAGATGGACACTGGGATGGATCCTGACAGCTTGTTGTGGCTCAGGTCCCTGCCATGAGAGAGGGAGCAGGGGGCGTTTGGGGGGGGGGGGGGGGGGGGCAGGGAGAAGGGCGAGTGAGAGGGCGAGAGTGAGAGTGAGAGGGATGCTCAAACACTGCCAGGCGAGTGAACGCGCATCATGTTAGGCATGAAAGGGTAACGAGGTGGCGCACCCCTAGGCACCAGAGGATCCGTAGCCGCTGCACCTGGTGGACCCCCTCCAAACGCTTGAGGGGGAGTAGAGAGGGAGAGAAGAGGTGACACCGCCTCTCCCCCGGAGCAGTGTGGCTGTGTGATGTGACGTGACTGTGGCCCGAGGAGAGAGCTCGCTGCTCTGTTCAGATTCCTTCCTTCCCAACTGGGCGAGGGAGGGGGAATCCATTGAGTGCAGAGAGGCAACTCACATGTAAGAGACGACCGATCCACCAGAGAAGTCAGGTATGGAGCCCAGGTTGTTGTGATCCAGCAGGCTGAAGGGGTCAATTCCAAACGTGCATTTCAAGATTCTTGTGTATTGAAGAAACGATAAGGTGTGGAATGGGGCCATGGGTTGTTCAGACAATTTGCACAATGTTTGCATATGTGCTGCACACGTCACGTCAAGTGGAAATGACAGCGATGTGATCTTTATCCAGATTCTATGTAAGGTTGAATTTTGGAACAGGACATTCCTGAAGTGGAAATGAATTTGAAACAGGACAATTCCGAAGTGGAGAGAGTCAGCTCTGTTCCTAGCAGCATGCCCCCTTCACCCTCCTCCCATCTCCCTCCAGCACCTCACAGACCCGCGTTCACTTGGCTCACAGGGTGTCTAATGACGAGGGCAGGGCAGCAGGCACGGGACCAGTGAGCCGGTTGTGGGAAAGATCTCTGGAGACAAGCAAAACAAGGGGGAGGGGGGAGGGGGGAGAGGGGGGGGGGGGTGGGGGGTGGGGGGGGGGAGAGGGTGTCAGAACCGTTGGCTCGCAAGGCTATTACCACCTTGGTTAACCCAGAGAAACATGGGTCCATTGGTCTCGCTCCTTACATCGCCGCTGCGCTGGCCGGTTCAACCACTCCAAATCCAACTATCAACCAAGTACCCTGGACCATCAGGGCAACTGCCCGATCTTCCAGCTAACACTGAGCAGGTTGTATTTGGTGAAGATGATTCGACGAATACCGTCCAGCCCAACAAGAAGCGTGCCTGTCCTACAGAGCAAGCTCCTGCTGGAACGGCCACCATGCCACTCAATGACGCACCGAAGGCTTCAATTCCTATGGATTCCTCTCCAGAGGATGTCGTCATGACGGATTCTCCTTCCTTGGAGACGTCGATCATTCTATTCTCGACAAGCACCCGATTCCTCCGTGCTTCAACGATTCTTAGAATCAAGCTATCACAGATTTCAAGAAGAATTCCGCAAAGCACCAAAGTTTGTCTCAGCAGCATCTTATTATGGATGCGCAAGCTAAGTCTGGCGACATTCCTCACAGCATTCGGATAAAATCCTTCGACTTCATGTGTCCCTATGAAGACATCAAGATCGGAGCCAATAATGAGCTTCATACTGCCTGCAAGGCCTATCTTGGCAACGTTGAAGGGATTATGATACAAAAGAAGAAGACGGCTGCCGAAAAAGCTCTCTATGACGCCAACGGAGTTCATCAATGGCTCCAAGACAAGCTGAATAACTACATCGATCTGACCAAGGCCAGCACTTTCGGAGACAAGCACCCGAAACTCATCGACAAACTCACCTTTTTCAAGGATACGATTCTGGCCGAATTTGAAAATTCGATGTCGTTGTACCTTGCTGACGCTCTTATGGCAGAAGTCCACCAGACGGAGAAAGCCAAGGAGGTTGATGCAAAGAAGAAGGCAGCCCCTGCAGAAGCTGAAACCTTACCGGTTGACACTTCAATTCGAGAAATCGTCAAGCACGAAGCTGATAAAATCCTCAACAAGAAGTTCAACCCGCAGAAGAAGCAGAAACAGCAGAAGCAGAGTCAGAAGACAAAGTCCCAGACTGCTAAGAAGACTAGCGCGTCTTCGGTGATTTCAAACAAACGTCCCGGACCGGCTAAAGGACCTGTCAACAAGCCCAACCGTCTGCTCGACAAGGGGAAGAAGCCGATTCAGGAAAACCCTTTCAGAGGTTCCAATGTCGCTTCTTCTTCCAGGAATCCGTATGCTGCTCCTTCTTCCAAGGCTTCTAACTCTTCTACTCACAGGAATAATAATCCGAAGCAGAAGCAGGATCAGAATCAGAAGCAGAAACAGAATCACCAGTCAAAAAATGGCGGAAGCGGCCGCGGAAAGGGGAAGAAACCTTAGTCCGCGGACGTCCATCAATACGTCTTGATTCTTTTTGGTCGTAAGACCGAGAGTCAAGTGCAGTGTCGCGTCAGCAACAAGGATTACCACAACTTCTCCAGTTACCATTTCTCTCCCACTGAAGCAGAAATCCTCGGCATGGGTCTCAACTTTATCCCTGTTCCAGCTGCTCGTCATATCATTTCTTTCGCTGAAGAGTTAGAAGGTCTCGTTAAAGACGTCCGTACGACAACCTTGTTCAACGGTGATGCAATGAAATCTGAATTTCCCGGTTACAAGCTTCCCAAACGGCTGAACTGGAATCCTCCCCTCGCATCTGCTGAGGTGGAAACAGCACTCTCACTCTTCAAGCATGCAGCCGTGAAAGCAGTTTCCGAACAACAGTATACCAGGAGAACCTCTAAACTGCTACCAGCCCTTCGGCGACTGGGTTTGAACCAGAATCTGGTCTTCAAACCTGCCGAAAAGAACCTGGGTTTGGCTGTCATGGATTTCTATAAAGACGTGTTTTAAACATCTCCTGGATACGCAGGTTTATCGCGAATACCAAGAAGTCCTGATTACTGGAATTGTGAAAGACTTCTATGGCATTCAAGCAGACTACCAGCCTCTGCTTAAGGCGAGAATCTGGAAATCGTTTCTTGCACCGCCGACAGGAGGCTAGGAAGTCCCGGCTTTCTACACCATTCCCAAGGTGCACAAGAAGGTCCTCGCGGGAAGACCGATCGCGGCTTCTCACTGCTGGGTCACTTCTAATGTCTCCTGTTGGCTGGATGCTGTTTTACAGCCTCTGGTTACCTGTCAGCCAACGTACCTGTAGGATTCGCAGAGTTTACTACTTCTGCTGGAAACTTAGAGACTACCATCCTATCACCTGCTGGCTTCATACGATGTGGAAGCCTTATATCCTTCGATCCCGCTTTGGGACGGGATTGAAGCAGTGGATTTTTTTCTTCGGCGAGACAGGCACCCGCTTGCCCCTCTTATTGTCCGCCTTCTACGCTCGGTAATGTTTAACAGTTACGTGACTTTCGACGGCAGATTTTTTCGCCAGATTAAAGGTACTGCTATGAGTACTTCTGCAGCAGTTTTCTTCGCCATCCTGTTTCTGAGCTACCTGGATCTGAAACTCAGTCGCGTCATCAGTCACATACCAGCACTCCACCTTCATTATATCGACGATGGCCTTATCCTCTGGGATGCCCCCCCTCTACTTTCGACGAATTTCGGCTCCAATTCAGAAAGCTGCATCAAGTTGACCAGTAGACTCTGGATTTCCTTGATATTACCTTCTTCAAGGGGAGTTGTTTTTCGAAGGAAGGCTTATTGGATGCGAAACTCTTCCAGAAGCCTATGAACCGGTGTCGTGCTTCTCCCATTTCTCCCATTCTCCTCAACTATCCTTCCTCCTTACCCTTCTTACCCCCTTGTCCATTCCGCCTCTTGTAGGTTATCACCGGTGCCGTGGGACCTAAGTGGAGAAATACGCTTGGGCAGCCTAGCGTATTGCGTACATACGCTAGCGTATAATACGAATACGCTGTACGCTAGCTAAGTACGCAATACGCTAGCGTATTTCTTGGCGGGCAGCCCGGCAAGAAATACGCAAAAAACGATGCGACAAATTTGCGACATGACGAAACCCCACAGGGATTTCGCCATGTCGCAAACCGAAATTTGGCTTTTCAAATCGTCAACCCAACCCCTTCGCCCCTCCCAACCACACAGCATCCCACCCAATCTGCGACTTCCAAACAACACCCAAAGAAATCTCCTTCCTCTCCCTCTCTACTCTACTCCAGCACGGTTCAGCGCAGTTCACTCCTACGACGAAATCAGGGTACAAGTAAACTGGCGCGCTAACTTCAGTCATTTCTTCTTCCAAGCTAGCGCGACTAGCTAGCTGGTTTTTTAGCGACTGTTGCTATGTCGAACCCTTCACCTAGTCCTGGTTCCCACGGAACCGACGCGGGAACCTCCTGTGCTGCGTCTTCCTCTGACGAGCTCCTGGAGAACTCCACCCACGCTATCTTTAAGCATTTCAAGTTTAAGCATAAGGAGCACGGCAAGCAGCAAAAGTATTGGTGCAAGTACTGCCCCGTATCCTTTACCGGGACGGCCTACCGCTGCGCACAGCACATCACTAGTTGGGATGGTATGCGTAGGCGCGAGGTTCGGAAATGCGAGGAGGTAGGGAAGGAGGAGCAGGCTGCCGTCCGCGCGTTCCAAACTGCCAAAGTGCTCGCGAGGGAGGAGGCGCATAGGGCGGAGGAGTCGGCCCTCGACGCCGTTAGTGGTCGAGGAAAGCGGAAGATCACCGATTACCTGTCCGATGACGCCCAAGCGGCCAAGGCGGCGGCGGACGAGGCTATTTGCCTCCTCTTTGCCGGCCTCCGCCTTCCCGAGCGCCATGCCGACCACCCGCTTTGGCGCAACGCCGTCCGGTCCATCGCGCGCGCGGGGACCAGCTATGTGCCTCCAAAGCGCGACTACGTGGGTGGTGCCGGCTTGCAGCTATGCCGCAAGCGGATTGACGAGGGATTGACGGGCGTCATGTCGAGCTGGAAGCGCCACGGCGTGACGATTGCCAGCGACATGATGACCGACAAGTGTGGCAGGCCGCAGGCGAATGTGATGCTGGTCAATGACACCGGCGCAGTGTTCGTCGAGAGTATTGACTGCAAGATGGAGAA